CACACATGCTGGAAAATGCAATGGTTTTTAGTGTATATATGTAGTGTATTAAATTCCCATGGGACGACAGTAACCAAGGAGACGCTTCTATATTCCCAATGGATATTTGAAATGTGTTTTTACTCCAATGTTACATGGCTCCCTGTGCCACATCTCGACGACTCTGTGCCGCAACACATTTATTGCATGAATAGACAGTGCGTTAGAACTTTGCCCCAATTTGTGAATAATGTGTTTCGAACCAATAGCAGCACCAACACCACAACAATCGAACTTTTCGATCACATTTTTTTTGTTTTTGTCAAAAACCGAATTAATTTTTTGGTCTTTCGAATCAAAACAAAATTAGTGTATGTTCCATTTTAGCACCTTGTGGAATGGTTTCCGGTTAATATCACACAGTGGAATTGATGCTATAGCTGTTTTTTTTTTTGCACAACATCATATTCGAGGAAATAATCATAAATTTACTCACCATTTTCCAGAAGAAAATTTTGGGTTGAATTATTTATTGTGTCCACGATCGTCGCACCGTTAGCAGACATTATGTCCTGATCATCTATAATAGAATGATTATACAATATCAGTAACAATAGAACAAGGAGTGGGTGACTCCGTTCAATATCGCGATCAACAGAGTTTTTAATATGAATATTTGTTTAAAAAATACTTTTATTAAATTAATGTCTACATTGTTTTTATATTGCACGCGTGTATGCGAGTGTGTGTGAAACGATATGATGGTGTTTTTTTTTTTCTTTTTTCATACACTGGTCATGTTCGAATATAGAGCTTTACTTCTTCTCAGCGCCTCAGCTATATTTTTATTTGTTTATTTATTTCTTTACAGAATAAGTGTACCACTCTCGAGTGCGAAACGTGCACTTGGGAGCTTTAAACATGGAACAGAGAAAAAAAAAATAATAATATGTAATAATAAAACGAATCATATTATTATACATAGATATAGCGCACAGGACCAAATCTAAATATGTTGGAATATTTCACGTTGTATAGTATAGCATATGCAATGTGTCTATGTGTTTGCATTGATGGTGGATGTGTGTGGTGCGAGTTAGCGCCTGAAATGTGTTCGATATTGTATATAGGTGAATGGTATTCGCAATGCATATATACGTATATCTCTCTTTCAGTAGCATTTGAAACGATACCATTGAGACGAAATTTTGCACAAGGCGACATTTGAGGTAAATATTTATTCGAATAAAAGAGACGAAGGGCCATCGATGCGACGTAAAAGTGGAAAACAATAAAAACAACAACAACAGCACACTGTTATGTTGTAAAAGTACGCGAGTCTATCGGAATACACAATTGGAATTTCTTTGGTCCACCTAGATTAGGATCATTATGATCTCTTAAGTCATTCGCATTGAATATTCTACAATTCAATTATTTATGTCCGATTCCATTTGTAACCCATTCATTTGGTGGTTTTTTTTTCAGTTTAAAACTAGTTAAACAAACTTCCTATAGATACATAAATCAAATCATTGAATCAAATTTCCATTTAAGATCCAACGTGAAAAAAGAAAGAAAGTATAATATTAGTAAATATTCAATGAATGCATGGTGTGAATGCAATCATTTCGATTTGCTCTTTTACATGTAACCTACCGAAAAATGTGGATGTGTAGTTGAAAATAATTTAGCGGTACATTTTTGGACATGTAATATCACCATTGAGAGCAATAATTACATTTTATCGTTTGCATAATAAAACTTAAATTCCATCCACTAACTTTGCAACTTCGTTATGAGCATGTACGTGTGCGTATATTGTTTGTACTATTTGGCATATCTTCCATGAATTGACTCTTTATTTTTCGGACAAAATTCATGCACAAAATCTCTTACTCTTATTGAAGACTTTACGTTGGGAGACTAAGCGAGAGAATATCATATAAAATTAAATGAAAACTTATTGGTTTGATGGCAATTATTGGTCGTGGGTTATTGGAAGCTGCACACCTTTTTTTTACATCTAATCGCTGCTTTTGTTGTTATTTTGATGTAGGCGCCGGTGGAAAAAGTTTTTCGAATTTAAATCTCATGTGCTTTTCATTTTGCAATGTGACAAATGATCTGAAGCAAAGATCTATGAGTTCGATTGAATTATTGTAACTATTTTCATGTCACGAAACAGGTAGTAACGGCGATAATTACAACACCATTTGACAAATGCTCATAAGTTATATTGACTAAATCTGCAGTGTATTCTGATCGTAGACATTTATCTGGCAATTTTTATATACGAGCACTTGGGGAGTCTTACTCTGCCACCCACTTGCTTGTTGGTGCACAGCACATTGATGTGTTCTAACGTTAATCACAATAAACGTATGATTCATTCGATGGCATGTTGTTCATTTGGTGGATGTTTTTATTCCAATGACTCTTTCTCTTGCACAACCTCCCCCTTCTCTGTCTCTCTCTCTCTCTCTCTCTCTCTCTCTCTCTCTCTCTCTCTCTCTC